ATGCCATGAGATTACAGTTGGTGATGTCACAAAGAGAGAGGATGGAAAGTTCTGTCTTCATGAACTCTGTGTCCAAGGTAGCAGTGAGGCGAGCAAGAGGATACACCAGGGGAAGACAGCAGGGGAGAAGTCAGAGATGGCGGTAACTTTGGAAATCATCCATAGGTTGGTTACAATTGAGGGACGATAAAATTTCCAGTGCAGTTGTTCCCAAACTGAGCATCACAAGGTCATCATCACCATCCACAGCTCTCCAAGGGCTCCTGGCTGGAAGGGTCTCCATTAAGAATACACCCTTTATGAGCAGAATATTGCCATGACTTCCCCCATTGGTCTACCATAAAACAGGTCAGTAACATGCTTTTGAGAGAGAAAACCAAAGAACTGAACCTCAGGGAACAGCATCAGGAAGCGGATAAAGAACCACTTAAGGAGATTTTGAATAAACAGTAAGCAAAGTAGGAGGAGAATCTAAAGAGCCCTGAAAACCAGGAAGAAGAAGGCCTGCTGAATCAAAGGCAGTCATCAACCCAAAACCTGGAGGACAGAAAGCTGTCTGTCCCTTTGCACTAGATGGAGACTGCTAGTGATCACTGTGATAGCAGCTTCACTGGAGCTCAAAGAAGAAAGGCAAAGGAGAAGGAAAGACAACTAGAAGAAAACCAAGGGAAAGCCAGCACAGAAAAAGAAAAGGAACCGGGCTGTAATTAGATAACTATGATATGAGTAGAATTTTCCATTGTGTTTCCCTTGAGAAACAAGATTGCCAGGAGTTCAAAGGAAAAGGTAAATGAGTCAGAAAGGAAAAAGGAAAAGACTTGAGAAAAGGACCTCAGAGCAGAGGGAGGTGCAATGCAGGAGGAAAAAGGAATGAATTTAAGGTTTAACATCACGGAACAGAGATCGCAAATCAGCTGAAGAAAGAAATGATGGGAATAGGAGTGAAGGAAGAGAAAAGGCAACAAGGTCAGAGGAAAAGAGAAAAAAAAAGGAGAATTAAACTTGATTTTGCTGACATTTTAGTCTAGCTTCTTATGGAATGAGCTTCGTGCAACCCAGCTGTGCGTAAGCGAAGTTGCCTCTCCCCATCCCAACAGCTTTTGAACACGCTGGTCAGCTTCAGTGAAACTCCAAATCTCAAAGAAAGTTCTTTGCATGGACACGTGTGTTCAGGTAAAGGAGAAATAAATTTGTGTTCCTAACTAGACGAAAGGCTGTAACATGAATCCTTCCTTATTACTGCTCCCTGATTCACCAGAGAATCAGCATGAAACTCCAGCTCCGTACCAAGCAGAAGCCTTCAGTGAAACACAGGCTCTCTAAAAAACCTGGGTTAACCAACTAAAAGGCAGAGATCCAGAGGAGACAAGGCTTCCCCAGTGGCAGTGCTTAATGCTTATTGAAACCTGCAAAGCAACTGGCTAAATTTTTGTACAAAGAAAGCTAGCAAGAAAGAGAAGCATGAAGAACTGATATTGGGAACCAAGGGTGAAGGTAGACTTGAGTACAGGCAGGAGCCTGGATGGTTAGAAATAAGAAGTACAACGTGGCAGCTTTCTTATGGTACAGGACCAAGAAATGACTGTGTGAAAGCAAATGTAGAGCAAAGATGAAGGAAAAGAAAAATAAACCAAACAGTTCAAAAGGACTCAAGAGAAAAAGGTAACATTCTTCAGAGAAAGAGCAGAAACTGGCAACGTAGACGTTTCTGAGGCTGTCTCTGGTGTTGTGCTCACCTACTGACTGTGCTGTCATCCAGCACACCACTTCCATTGACCTAAAAGCTCAGACAACTTTCAACAGCAAATGTAGTACATGACTGTCCACCAATGGGACCACTGGTTGACTCAGTGGTCTCATCATGTTCTTTGCCAGTTTCTAGCACTCACTAAGGAAGTTGATTTAATCAGTGGAAGAGATTCATAAAGTCCTAGTCCAATCTGTTGAAGAGCTAGCATTAACTAACCCAAATATTACCAGTCTCAAGCAGCTAAGTTACTGCTTTAAAAACTTCTTATTTCTCATAGACTGACAAGTTTTATATGTAACTAATCAGTAGGGGGTTTTTTGTTGTTTGGTTTTTTTCCCCCCTTTTAACAGCAGTGTGCTGGTTTTGGTTGGGATAGAGTTAATTTTCTTCACAGTAGCTAGTATGGGGCTATGTTTTGGATTTGTGCTGAAAACAGTGTTAATAACACAGGGATGTTGTCGTTACTGCTGAGCAGGGCTCACACAGAGCCAAGGCCTTTTCTGCTCCTCACCCCACCCCACCAGCGAGGAGGCTGGGGGGGCACAAGGAGTTGGGAGGGGACACAGCCGGGACAGCTGACCCCAACTGACCACAGGGATATTCCGGACCATACGACGTCATGCTCAGCATATAAGGTTGGGGGAAGAAGAAGGAAGGGGGGACGTTCGGAGTGATGGCCTTTGTCTTCCCAAGTCACCGTTAGGCGTGATGGAGCCCTGCTTTCCTGGAGATGGCCGAACACCTGCCTGCCCATGGAAAGTGCTGAATGGATTCCTTGTTTTGCTTTGCTTGTGCATGCAGCTTTTGCTTTACCTATTAAGCTGTCTTTATCTCAACCCACGAGTGTTGTCACTTTTACTCTTCCAATTCTCTCCCCCATCCCACTGCAGGGGAGTAAGCGAGTGGCTGTGTGGGGCTTAGTTGTCGGCTGGAGTTAAACCACGACAAGCAGCTATTGCTAAGTGCCGAATTACCCCATCTTGCAAATTAGCAAATAACTGAACATGATTTTGTTGTTGCTGTTGTTGAATAGTGGCTAACACAAGACAGATTTCTTCATGTATTTTGACAAGTATGGTCTTGCTTTATTATTTATGAAAACGCTTTGCAGTATCCAATAAAAGCCCTACAGTATATTTTTGCATATTTTTCAAAAATAATGAAGTCTTAGGGACATGTGACCTTTCTGCTACAGTCTGCAATTACATCTGTGCTTAGAGGGAATGTGTGGGTGAGCAAATGACACCACCATTTGTGTGTTGGCATCTGAGTATGATGAGATTTCCCATTTAATGAAATCAGCTACAGAATATTCTTACCATAGTTCTTCCTAACAGACACTTAAATTTTGATAGTTTTGTGGCAGCTAAAAGAAAAAAAACCAAACATGATATCCAAGGAAAACCTCAATACCAGAAAGAGATTCTAAAACTGAGGTCAGCTTAAATAGTTACTTTCACTACTTCAGTTATAAAATACGGGGGGAACAAGACTCCAATCCTACAGTTTTTTGATACAAACCCAGGACTATGATATTTTATGTCAATACAAAAGGCCAGGAGCAACTGTCCTGGTTTCGGCTGTGATACAGTTAATCATCTTCCTAGTAGCTGGTACAGTGCTATGTTTTGGGTTCAGTATGAGAAGAATGTTGATAACACACTGATGTTTTCAGCTGTTGCTAAGTAATATTTAGACTAAGTCAAGGATTTTTCAGCTTCTCACGCCCAGCCAGCAAGAAGGCTGGAGGGGCACAAGAAGTTGGGAGGGGACACAGCCAGGGCAGCTGACCCAAACTGGCCAAAGGGGTATTCCATACCGTGTGATGTCATGTCCAGTATATAAACTGGGGGGAGTTGGGCTGGAGGTGGGATCACTGCTCACGAACTGACTGGGCATCAGTCGGAGGGTGGTGAGCAATTGCCTTGTGCATCACTTGTTTTGTATATTCCAATTCTTTTATAATTATTATTGTCATTTTCTTATAGTTATTATTATCATTATTAGTTTCTTCCTTTCTGTTCTATTAAACTGTTCTTATCTCAACCCACGAGTTTTACTTTTTTTCTGATTCTCTCCCCCATCCCACTGGGTGGGGGGGAAGTGAGTGAGCAGCTGTGTGGTGCTTAGTTGCTGGCTGGGGCTAAACCACAACAGCACGGAAGAAGTTGCAGGTTCAAAGGACAAAGTAAAAATGGCTAACTGCACAGCATCTGAAAAACATTACAACATTTCACAAAAATGAGCCAGCAAAATACTTTTTATTAATTTATTCTAATAACTTCATTTATACGGAAATAGCACCTGTCACATTTTTGACATGCGTTAGTATCTTCACTGGACTAAGCACTACACAACTATTTTAATTTGAAGGATGAAAATCACAGGTCTTTTCTTTAATTATTAAAAAAGAACATTGCACTAAGGTACCATAACTAATAAAGTTAACCGTGAGAGCATCTGTCCTATGATATCTTTTCTCTAGCATTTTTTGCACTACCTTCTTCTTTGCACCCATACTGTTCACTGTGTGTACGCCTCTCTTTATTGCCATACACACATGGTTTAGCTGACGTTGCTTCTCTGATGAGTATCTCATCTTTAGACATTCTCTACTTTAGAACTGTGTATTGTATTACCGCATCCTATGGATAGTTAATTCATGCTCTGACAATCATGGCACTGGAAAGCAGCTAGCAGATGTGCCAGCACTGTAGTCTGCTAGATTAAATTTTGCAAATACCAACCTGCTAATCCTCAAATTCCCCATTTGATTTGAGATTAGTTAGATAGTTAAGAGACTATGGCAAAAAATTCCAGATGATCAGAACCTGTTCCCAAATTCCACCCCCTGGATATACAGAGGTAGCAGCACACAGAAGAAGCCAGGCTGAGAGCAGACAATGACCATGTGAGTTCTCAGGGTATACCTGACCTACAGATGGACAGTGAAGAGTCTCAAAGTGTTTTCATTTTATTCTTTGACTATGTCTACATCTATGATCACATTCTCATGTTAGTCAATACTTATGGAAGTCCCTGAAAGACATACTTTGGCAGCAGTTATGAAGGAAAATAATTCCAGGCATGACGGTCATTTACTTGGCTTTACTCATGAATCAGAATTAATTCACACAAGAAAGGTACTGGTATCTCTGGACACAATCAAGTTACACCTAACTGCGTTGTTTTGCCCCTCTCTAAAATGAAATGCTGTCCTGTAAAAGGAAAGGTTGATGATGGCACTCACCTTACATCCCTCACAAGCACTGACACCATAGTGATATCCGGATGACTTGTCTTGACAGACAAAACAGGGCTTGTAAACACGAGGGGGTGGAAGTGGTGAAGGAGGGCTCGGAACAAGTTCCTCAGAACTGGTGCTCTGAGTTTCAACTGCTACAAAAGAAAAAAGAAATATAATTGAATGATTAATGAATGAATTTTAATTAACTGATTATTTACTGTATGACAACTATCAAACTGGCCCATATCTTTCTTTGTATAATAAACATTCATTTGTCTTTCCTAGCAAAATTTAAAGGGAACCAAAGTAAGGGAAGTAATGACAGGGCTACATGCTATAGCCTCAAAAGTATATTTTAAAGTACCCAATCATTTTTCATGATCCAGCTACTCAACACCACAAAAGCTACAGCTCACATCAGATATAAGGCTTGAATCTCTTATCAGGCTCCAAAAATGGACAACTTTGGGCTCATGTTCTGGTTTTAGCCTATTGAATTGCATGGGATCCATGTGTGGGCACCGGATATCAGCCTTCAAAGGGAAACTGTTTGTGGTATGTGCCCTTCCAATCTGTACCTGATCTTGGGAGAGCCCTTGTACATCTTGCCTTTTTCTACAAAAGGTAACACTTCCAATGTGCAATTCTGCCACAGCAGGACAGCAGCATGCATCAGGACATATGTAAAGAGACAAACGACTAACTATAAGACCTGAAGTGAAAATTACCTGAACAAGTCATCTTTCGTTTTTTTAATCTGTAAAACTAGCACAACCCAGCAACACTTCCTTACCTACCTTAGGATTTGTAACGTCAGGAAACCTCTCTGAGAAAAAGCTACTTACACATTATGACCCCTCATCCCTTTATTGCCTTAATATTTCTAGATGGTCATTTGTTTTGAACCTGCTGAAAAGCCAGTTATCCCTTTCAGGGAAAGGACGTGAAAGCTCTACGATGCAAGATAAGACCTGCGAACTACATCTTTCCAAAACATCTGCATTAGTTTTCTGTGATATGCTGTCATCATTCCTCACGTTTATTGTAGATGTGCAATACATTTTCATGTTTCACCTAGCCGTCTGCTGCTTCTCAGATAAATCCCTCTAACTTTTCAACACATATGCAGAAATGACAGGATCTGTGAACTCAGATCTATCCAGAAATATTAGGCACTATCAGCAGAGCTAAATCTCAAGAGTACTAACAGCAGACCCTAAAGAATATTACTCAATGGAAAAATCTTAGACAAGATTTACTGTACATTATATTTTTCAGATTACAAAGATGATACATTTGTATTAAACTCATGATTCATTGTCAACTCGTGTTCTGTAGAATTCACAGAGGGCATCACGGAGCACGATGCAACTTCTGATTACTTGGGAGAGAAGGGCCCCTTCCTGCAATTTTTACTTGGGTTAAGGTACTATCAACTTCAAGGACAGACATTTCTTGAGAAGAAAATAAATGCTAGGGTGAAGTGTTAAAGGCTGTGACTCTAAGCAAAGAAATATCTTTCCAACGGGAACAATTTATTTATATATCTAACAATAAGGAGGCTGTGAAAAAACAGAAAAGTAAAATAAAGTGGCTCCATATATTGTGACGTTAAGACAACGTCCAGAACTGTACTTATCTTTTTCAGTATTAAATACACTGAACCTTGGCTAACCAAAAAACTACAGGTTCCTACTGCACCAAGAAAACTTTAATGAAGTTTTTTCTTAATGAAAACACAGACGAGAATGATCATGTCTTTTCAACGGTAATTTTTGGTATTTAAGAGAGACAGAGAGTGCTCTGTTATTGATCTCTGCACAGCCATCCTGCTTGAATCAATAATCTATTAGTACTTTTAAATTAAAGTTAGATTCATCAAATACCCTTGAGAGGCCTCAAACATTCCTCGCCTTATTTCATGCTCTTACATGAATTATGGTGGCTTCCAATCAGCCTATAGAATAATAAAATTTAAGCTTTAAAACTCTAATACCAGCAGACAATGTGTTTCGTATTAGCTCATTCAACTCTCCCAGTCCATCTAAAAGGCAGTTTTTAGGCTCCCCATGGGAAAACAAGGTTGTGTCATTCAATAAAACAACTGCACTCCTGCAATCCTTCTGTGATTTCAGATTGGGGAGAGCAGTCTTTTAGGAATAATGCCGATACGCTTCTGCTTTTTTCATGATTTCATCTAAACAAGCACCAGCATCCAACAGTAGTGTTCAAACCACGAACCATACATACAACAGAGGTCTGTCAGGCACTGGCCAAGCACCAGGAACTTGCGATACCCAAAAGAGATTAAGCAACCAGCTCAGTTCATAAATACACAACATAGCAACTGAAGAGCTGAAGGTGCTGCTAGAGAATTTTCTTCTGGATGATTTGAAAAGGTATACAAGAAGGAAAGAGCCAATGTAAACCAGAAGGACCTCTGTAAAATACCCATATACACACATATGTTCCTGAAAGGACTTAAGCTATTCAATACAATACTTGCATCAGCTGAACAACCTTCTAGAGAGTTTTATTTTTTTGTTGTTGTTTGCAAGAAAACCCAGTTTGGGATCATTCACTTTTGATCACAGGCAAGATGTATGGCTTTCTGGAGAAGGCTTGAACTCAGGTTACACATGCTCAACTCCTATTCCTGCTTCTGACTTACTATTCTTCCTTGGATTTAGCCTTTTTAACTCTTTATTTGAAAATGAATGTACTGCCAGCATGGAAGTGCAGAAATCTAGTGCAGGCATCTGTAGTAATTCATACTCAGCAGGTATAAAGTGCTATTTCTGTATCATGTCAGTGGCTAGTGGATGCATGACAGCAGAACCTGCTTTTTTTTCTATGCATGTCTGCACATGCATGGTGGAAAAAAGAAAGGATGGGAGGCAGACAGTTGACATTTCCAGAAGAGGCATTTCTAAAAAAGTCTTACGATTTTAGGAAAAATTCAAAGAAAAAAAAAAAAAAGGGGGCAACTTCTTTCCATGCCCTGCTGTCTTGTCCTGTGAGATGTGACACTTCAGGGTCCCTACTCACCTAAGAAAACAGAGCCTCAGTGCCGTCACCCAACACCTGAATGCAGCTTAAGCACACAGGGATTCTCAAACAATCGGTCACTTCACAATTCCTAAAATGTCTGAAATATTTCTAAAGGCAAGATAAAGCAGCAGATAAGATCTTTAAAAGCACAGCATGCTTCGTGAGAGCTAATTTACTGCCAGCTAAACCATGTTGACAGATGGAGGAGGTATTTTACTTTGTGACCAACTAGAAACAGGCAGGCACTATGGAAATGCCTTGCATTTTGCTAGAAACTTAGATTATTAAGCTTGTATGTTAATGCACACTTTGGACAGTTAAGTCTTAAAAGAATAAGAAGTTGTAAAGCAAATGGCATTTCCTGGATAGCCTCAAGGGAATTTTGAATACTGAGCTCAGGGTCCCTGGTGGGAAGCAGCAATTTCAGCTAATTAGGGTGAATAGCAAAGTGTTGCATTTGGTCAAAACATTCTGTTAACCCTCATTTTTGTTGGCACCAACAAGAGTCTGGTTTTTTTGCCTTTTTTTTTTTTTTTTTTTTTTTGTGAATTCACTGCAGGAGTGCAAGGCACACAGCTCACATACATTAGGCAGAAAGTCAAAGGAAACGCCAAAGTTCAACTAAAGTACAAGTAATTAGAACCAGATCCTCTGCTGCTTGTATGTGTGCATTTGATTGTAGAAGTTATTTATAAGCCTCCAAACATTTGAAAAAATAACTATATACTGTAGATCATTTAATTTTTATGTCTCGTCTGGAAAAAAAAGTCTGCTTTTAATCATCTTCCAGGAAAGAGCCAGGAACTGGGAAAGTGGGTCTCAATTGTTTCAATACAAATTTCTCTCTTTCATGTGCCACATAAAACTATACTATCAAATTAAATCCAAAATATCATTGACTCAGCCCCCCCATCCAATTTTTTTTTAATAAAAAACTTCTTTGAATTTGTCATGCTTAAATAGTTTGCATTGTTACGAGGGGGTTTTTGTTGTTTTTTTTTTCTTTTTTAAACTGTTGTTTGGAAGACAGACAAGGGGAGGGAAAAAAAAAAGAAAAAAAAAAAGAGTGAGAGAGAAAGAAAACATTATCGTGGAGACTTGCCAGCCTTGACTTAGTAACCTGGCCATGACCCTCCAGCGAGTGTGTGTTTGACCCGGTCACACATGACTCTGGCTGCGTACTGTTGCTGGGTTATAAGTCCCAGATATTTTTACCATATATACAACAGGTGGGGATCACAGACAACAGAAAGAGGAGAACAAAGTCTTCCCTTGTGTGAAGACTCCCATTTTCTCCCTTGCAAAGACAACACCACAAAGCAAAGAAGTCGCGCTACTATTTCACATATTGGCACTTGCTGTGCTGGATCGCTGGCTTACCCTGGGGTTGACGGCACGGAGGTGGAGTGGGCTCAGGGCAGGAGGACAGAGGGAAAGGCTCAGGGGAAGCCATGTGCAATCGTTAATTGACGCAGAACGAATTACCACAGTCAAAAATCTTTCCTCATAGGGCTGGGTATGCATCGACGTTCAGGAGGGAATGCTTTTTATTACGAGTGAACACAGCATACCTGGATTAAAATGTAGGCTGCCAAAATAACTCCAGATTGAGATATTATCATCAGGATTTTCAGAAGGACTTAAGAAAGTATGTTTTCCACATTTGAGGGTTTCTTTTTTATTATTTGTGTCTTGCTAGCTGCACACATCTGCCTTAAAGCCATGATGTTAAATGTAAGTTATTCTGTTTCGATTCTTGATTACAAATTTTCCAGCATTAATTTTAATCAAGTTATAGTTAATCTCTACAAGACTGTCTAGGTCTTAAAAAAAAAAAAAAAAAGGTATTATATTATTTGGGCTGAAAGCCAAAAAACCCTCTAAGTCTTCAGGTTTGCTTTTAGTCTGAAAAGGGGCATTCCACTTTCAACAGGGACATCAGAAGATGAAAATTTATGACCTGGTTTCTGCTTGAGGGTGCCCAATCCAAAATGAGCCTTTTCTGTTATTTCAAAAGCTAAAAGAGGATCCCACAGTTTTTCACCACGTACTGCTCAGGATTCCTACAGTATGATTCAAATAACAACAAAACCAGCAAGAA